AAAACCTTGCATCTTCTCAAAAGCTTAGGAACAGAAGGAATACAAAACCTTGCATCTTCTCAAAAGCTTAGGAATTTGGCTACTCTAAATGAAAGGGAAAAAAACAACCAAAAACCAAAACAACCTACTCTGATAGAAATGTGCCTCACAAATAAATTGGTATTAAAACAATATGGGGTCAGTTCTGTCAGCCACTATATTACAGTCACCTGTAACACGAAATATACAAGCCATTTAATCTTATGCAAACACAAATCAACATGGAAAGCAGAATGTTCTATCTAAGTGAAACGGCAGGGAGAAAACAGTTATCTGCAATGGAATTTGGCATGGACATGAACATTAGTGCCCCAGGCTCTTTAATGATAACAAAAGGTCTGCCACCCAGTTTTACATCAAGTTAAAAATAAGGCAGCTTTACGCCCAATAAAACTGTGCTGAGACATTAGCCAGACTCCTCGCAGACTCACAGCACTGTGCACATCGAAGCAGGCATCATTACAAAGTATCTCAAGTGAATACAAAAGGAAGACAAAAAGTAAAGCTGGAGGAACTGGTACTAAATGAACACTTGAACTAGACATCCTAGATCTGAGACTATCTAGTCCTGTTCTGACTCAGACCTTTAAGCTCCCTGGTGAATGACTTTTCACCTTCAGTGGGTGCAGGGTAACAAGTTTCTTTCAGCCAATTGACCAGGAGACCACAGCACATCAGCACAGTGCTGCAATACTGTGCCCATCTGGAGCTCGTTAGCAAAAAACAAACAAACAAACAAACAACAAAAAAAACAACCAAACAAAACAAAAAAAAACCAAAACAAAAAAAACCAACCAAACAAACAAAAAAAACAAACGAACAAAAAAACCACCCCAAATATCCCCAAAACATGGACATACTGGAGTAGGCCCAGAAGAGGAAAATCAAGTTGTTTGGTGCAGGACAACATTTCTTCAAGGAGAGGCTCAGAGAACTGGGTCTCTTCAGTCTTAAAAAGAGAAGATGAAGGGGAGACATTATTACTGCCTACATCTACCTGATCAGAGGTAGGACAATGAAGCCAGAGTCTTCTTGGAAGAGCCTGGCAACAGGACAAGAAATTAAAAAAGCAAGTTGGAACACTGGAAATTCAGATTATATATTGGGATTCTTTATTCATTGTTTGTTTACCATGAGAGTGGTCAAACACTGGGACACTGTCCAGAAAGGTGGTAGAATCAACATCCCTGGAGGTGTTCAAGACCAGACTGGACAGAGCCCTGCGGAATACCTGTTTCAGGCAGACGTTGGACTGGATGGACCTATGGACATTTCATTCAGCATGGCAAGGTACAGAGCAAAGAATGAAAGCATAAGAGGAAGTAAGAGCTACATATCCTCCACTATCTGCCAGCATCACTAAGAATCTGGAGGATGGCAGAGGCCTGTGGTTGCTGCTCACCAAGGAGGTAAAACTCAGCCAGACACAACAAACAAACAAAACCAAACCAAACAAAAAAACCACAAGGAAAACAAAAGGGGAGAGTTACATGGTTTGCAGCTATGGAGTCATGTACCCAATCTAGACATACATATACACATCTGCAATTGTTTGAGTCATTATGTAACTTACTACCCACAAGTAATGGTTTTTACTCTTTTGGATTTGAATAGAATTTTTTGCTTTCCTGGTCTGACCTCATCTATATTCCTCATACTTTCATTAGCTCTCAGCTATCAAACAACAAGGTTTCCACAGACAAAGAAGTTCTCGGCACCTATCACCTATGAGGCTCCAGCTAACAGAGAACCATTCACTGTAGTTCAGAAATCCTACACTCCCTAAAACACCTTTAGAAAACACCTAAAGCCTCATAACAAAGACTACACCTGTGTTCCTGCTCACTGTCATAATTCACTTCTACTCTCATGTGAAACACCAACCTTCCTTAGAAGCTAAAGCAAAGACTGAGAATTTCCCAGCAACTTAAAACCACTTGGAATAAAGACAGAACCATGTTTCTTCGACCCTCCCTTCTCTAACAAACACATAAAACTACTGCCTTATTAAAATTCAGCAAAACCAAATATGCAGAGCAGTAACATGAAAACTCTTTCAAGCTTTTTCAAGGCAAAATGTCACCATGCTTTCCTTGGAAGAAAATGAGAGAACAAACAAACACACACATGACAAATGTTACTCAGCTTGCAAAACAGATTATTAGAGTAAGCTGAAATGCTGTGTGAGAAGAATGCTTTAAGCAGCTCTACAGAATAGATGGCAAGTCTGCCCCTCTCTCTGCCTGGCCCAAAGGCTATCAGCTAGGCTACCACTTACACGAGGTTTAAGGCTTAGGGAAAAACTTGACAACTTGCCAGTGACTTAAAACATCCTGGGGTCCATCCATCTGGTACAGAAACCTCAAACACTTCATGCAGGCAAACCCACCACACTGAAAACTTCCTCCTGCCAACACTACTTTGCCAGAATGGGATCTGTGTGCTAGAATGTGGTATAATCACTATGTGAAAATTTTTGTGATCCCTAAGCAAGTAATTTGGCCTGTCTGCTTCAGTTCCCTGCTGTAACAAGAGAACAGTATTACTTACCTCTCACTCTCTGCTCAGTTTATGAATATCAGTAACAAATGTTTGATACTAGTAAATGCCAGAAGGCATGTTGGACTACATGTTCAAAAAAGAGAGTACCAAATGCTTCACAGCCCTATTTTTTCCCATCTGAAGTAATAAGCTGGCTGGACAAATGTTATAGAAGTTGTTTATTTCCCATGTGCATCCTAGACTACTTCATTCAGCACTGTAAACAGGAAGGAGTTCTGGGAGCTCACCTGCAGTTTCAATGCAAGGGTATGGAGGAGGAGGTTTTTGCCATTTCCCATTTGCATCCTTCATATGAGATCTGTCTGAAGCAAATGTCTTCAAGTACAAATCTGCTCGAATCATTCTGATTTTTCTAAAAACAAAATGCAAAATTGTATTAAAAGATGCATGCACACAATACTGCACTAATCACTCAGAATAAGAGCACTTTCCTCTCATCAAGGAGCACTAATGTTATTAAATACACAAACCAGGAGCATTGAGCCAAGTTGTTAACATGAAGCTACAGTAGAAAAGGGCTTTTGATGACTAAGGCAAAGAGCTTTAGAAAAGTAACACAATGCATTTATTTTACTGGAGTATAGTAAAGAACCCTCTGTCACTATGCATACACAAAGAGAACTTAAACTTTGATTTCATGAAATAACATCCATAGTTCTTTATATTTCATGTCATCACCTGTGAAATTCTGGATGAAGGCTGTCATCCAACCTAAAGGCCTCCACACTGTACACATCAAAAGGACATGGAAACGGCAACACTGTGTCAAGATCATAAATGAAGTTCTGCTCCCCACTGGAAAGATGAAGTAGAATAACATGGTAGTCCTGGGAAGAAGGGGAATTGCCATTAGTTCAACAGCAGTTAATAAGAAACTGGCAAAGAGAGTGGAAAAAAAAAAAAGGATTCCTAAAAGCATAACTTCCCATCCATTTTTTAAAGCCTGCTTGCTGTCCTTGAATATTAAGCCTGTAACATTTCTGGCAGCAGGAGAGAAATTTCCTAATGTCTATCTTGCCCATTTAGTCTTCCAGAAACCTTGCTATTCTCCCCATTCCTTTGCAGCCTACTTTGATTTAAGCCAAAACAGCAAACTAAAGTATACCCTACTCCTAAGAAAACAGAAAATCTCTCTCATGTTCCACACCAAATCACAAAGTTGTTTGGTTAAGCATTTTTTATTAGACCCAGTCATAAATAAACTCACAAGATAAAATGATAGATTAACATTAAAGTTACCTAGTGATCTCTTCTAGTAAGAGATTTTGTACCTGTTGCAGTAACACGGTCTGTGAATTTGAGTGTCGAGTGTTCAGCTGCCAGAAGCACCTGAAAAACCAGCACACCACTGAAAAACCAGCGAACAGCTCGCATCAGGAGGACCACAGGGGTAAGACATTTTTTCCCAGCTTCAAGAGCTGCTACAGGAAATTATCTGTGGGTACTACATCACTTTTTCAATGCAACTATTTTATCAAGACTTTTAGGTTATTCAGTGCAGTTTTACTCCTTAACTTGTAAGAAATACAGGTGGAGATTTGAGGACACTGCAGTTACATTATAGGTCAGGTATGTGCACTGCCGTTTTCCAAAATTAAATTGAAGGTAGCCCCTAACAACTTACTTTACATTTAATCCACTCACAAAAAGGGTTGAGCACTGTCTTTTGACACTCTCAATATTAAAACCACAAAGAAATTTAAATTAAAAAGATTTGGGCAATCTGCTTCACCAGACCAATATATATACACAACTGTATTCAACAATATTTAGAATAACCCATTAGAGAGTATAAGAAAAATTAGTTTACAAGCTTTACACAACCTATCATTCATTGAAATGGCAAAGTTAAAAGACCTTTGAATCCTTGAATTTTTACGAGAAATCCACATTCTGCCATGGTGTTTCCTGACTCTGCTATTCCCTTTTAGGTCTTCTCTGTAGCACTTGGATCTCTTTTTAAACCAAATCGGTTTTTTTTTTTTGGTACTGGAAAGCTACCAATATTTTGGAAGAAAGTGAATGATTCAGAAATCAGAAAACTTCACAAGTTTGCAGATTACTCTGCAGAACTTCAGAAACAGAAATTGCCACAAGAAATAGTTTTTTCTGTACCAGATAACTGAAAGGACTATATAAGGATACCAAGGATACCAAGGAATTCTGCATCAGCAATTACTGAACTACATTGACTGATCAAATGACACTTCAAAGCCACTGTTTATGGGTCAGTTTCACTGCTGACACCTAAAAACACATATAACTTACACTCTTCTATCATCTGGCAGGCCTACATAAATATGTTCATCCATCTACTTCTTACAAGTAGAGTCATCTACCTACAATACCACAGAGCTGGCAGCCTCAACACCCAGATAATAATTTACACAAATCTATTATGCATTCTTACTATAATTAAGATCTGTCACCTACAGGTTTTACTGATTGTCCTGCTATTAATTTATGAAGGAGGGTGCAAAGGAGCACCAGATTTAGGCTATTTATAAATCTATTGTAAAATAATTATAAATATTAGTGCAAAACAATGCAATGTGTGAAGTTGGAAGGGACTTAAGGACATCAACCTGCTGCTCAATGACACTCTCCTAAAGCAAACTGCCCAGGACTGTGTCTGGATAGCTTCTAAAAATATCCAAGCATGGAGACTCCACAACCCCTCTGAGCAACCTGCTCCAATGCTCCATCACCCTCGGAGTAGAAAGTGTTCCTTTATGTTCAGATGGAACAGATTGTTCCATGCCCATGTGTGATCCTGCAGCTATCAACTACAGAGACACACACTCAAAATTTTTGAGAGTAATGAATGTCTTACCCAGACAACAGGCTCATCTCCATGTCCAGATTTCTGCTTCCAGAGTGGAATCTGAAAGTTATAAATGAACCTGAAGTGAATAAAATCTTTCAGATTAATACAGATTCCTTTCAGGCAAACTGGCTAGTTCTTTGCTAAGCTATCAATTTCTTCAGCTTACATTTGTATTGCAGTAAGAAATATTTTCTAGTTTCTCTCTCAGGAGCATGAAGTTGGAGATACTATTCTGGGCCACATTAAAAAGAAGTGTGATGGAATCACCATCCCTGGAAACATCCAAAAGACTTGAGGATATAGTTTAGTGATGAACACAGCAGTGCTAGATTAACAGTTGGACTTGATGGTCTTAGCCAACCTTATGGTTATTAATGGTTCTATGATTTTATAAAGATAACTATTCTCCTATATTGACAGATTACAAACAGAATTACTCCCACAGCTCACAGGGTCACCATGCCTCATTCTACTGCCCTGAATGCAATGCATAATTAAAAGATCTCAGGCGGTGTGGTTGGCACACCTCTGAGGCAAAGTGAGCTACAAAACAGGTTTGGAGCGTATCTCACCTACAGGCTGGGCTAAAGGCTCACTTCCCAACACTGGGCTGGGACCATTCTCACCTACACCGGGCTGCGGTCGGAAGGCCCGGACCTCTCCCTAGCTGGCTCTGATCGCATCCCATTGACTCACCATCCTCTTATCATTGGATATGAAAACAGCATAAAATTCTTCTAAAGGGTACCGATCCTGACTCCTGATGTAGTCACAAAGCTTCCAAACGTTTTCTTCGCTGCAAAACACAATAACCGGTCGTTGATTTTGTTTTCCTCCAACTGCATTTTTCGTGCCGAGAAACGAGCCCTGAGCGTGCTCAGCCCAGAGCCGCGCCGCTCCCGCCGGCGGCCCGGGCTGTCCCGGCGGCCCGGGCTGTCCCGGCGGCTCGGGCTGTCCCGGCGGCCCGGGCTGTCCCGGCGGCCCGGGCTGTCCCGGCGGCCCGGGCTGTCCCGGCGGCCCGGGCTGTCCCGGCGGCCCGGGCTGTCCCGCGCTCCGCGGCCGTGCGAGGGGCACCGGCTCAGCCGCCCCCGCCTCCCTTACCAGTAGCAGCTGCTGTAGGTGCAGGCGGGGCGGGGCGGCACCGCCGCCTCATAACCAGCCTCGGGCCGCGCCATGGCCGCTCTGAGCGGGGCTGAGGGCGAAGCAGGAAGCGCTGGGCCCGGTGGAGGCAGCCGCTACGCCATTCCCGAGAAAACCGCAGCCATCCCGGCTGGGCGCGGGCACTTCGCAGGTACAGCCGGAGGGGCGGCCGGCGGCGCAGGGACCCCCGGGCGGGGCGGGGCGGAGCGGAGTGGGACGAGACGAGCCGGGCCAGCCCCGCCCAGCCCCGCCCCGCGCCGCGCCGCCGGCGCAGCGCTCCGAGTTTTGGGCGCCAAACGCGCGGCCGCAGTGCGCCGCGTGCCCTTCCGCCGCGCGGGCGGGAGCGGCGCCGCAGGCGGAGCGGGCGGGAGGGAGCGCGGCGGAGGGATCCGGGCGGCGCGCGCGGCGGCGGGCGCGGGGCGCGTCCCGTCCCCCCCGCCATGGTGGTGCTGCGGAGCAGCGCTGCCTGCCCGCCCCGCATGGCTGCCCGCGACAGCCGCTGTCGCCGGCCCCCCTTCGACCTCCTGGAGTCCAGCTCCGAGTTCATTTCGCTGGAGCCCCCGGCGCTCAGAAGCCACCGCGTATGGACGCGCTCCGGGTCCGCCAGGGCCGCGGTGTCCAGGGGCGCCCGGAGGGCCGAGGAGGCCGTGAGTGCGGGGGGGGTGGGGTGAGCGCGGCCTGGCGGGCGGCGCTGCGCTGGGCCCGGCCGGGCGGAGGGGAGGAGCGGAGAAAGCGCTGCGGAGTGGTTCCCTGGAGGAGAAAGGGGAGAACCGAGTGTTTGGGGCAGGCGGCTGCGGCTGGGGGTGCGTGAAGAAGCAGCCGGCCCGCCCGCCGTTCCCGGCCGCCCCGCGGCTAAAAGGGGCTCGGCACTAGCCCTGGTGCGGGGGCTCTGGCAGCGTGCTGAGAGCCGGTCTTTGGGAATACTAACCTGCATCGCCTCTGGTTTGGTGTGTTGTATGCCATTCCCCATCCCCGTTTATTTTGGTGCAATTCCTATCTGAAAAAGTTACCTTGAGAAGATCTTAGAAAGCTCTTTGCATCAGTTGCAGTAATGCTTTTAGAGCGCTCTCTGTTTAGATGACAGAAATGCATCAAAGCCAGCGCGACACGAAATACATGGGACCTCTGAGTGCGTTCCGCTTGGCCCGAAGGGCCTGCTAAATACTCCTTAGTCAATTGTATCCAAATAGTGCTTTGTATGCTCTAAAAAAGAAAATGTTTAGAAATCAGGGCTCATCTGTACTTAATTAAAGTGCATAACCTAAACCAGTGAAAATGTTACTTGAGCTTTCTTGATTATCTTATTGATAATCTTTCTTGATAATCTTGATCTGCCCTACTAGAAGATGGTAAAGGATAGATATCAAGTGGCCTGTGCATCTCAGCATTGCAACTGTAATAACTGAATCATTTCACTTTCCATTGTTTTTAATATAGCTTTCAAAAAACTAAAACTTTGCTATTTCCAAGTCAGGCTCTACTCTGCAGGCTGTCCTGCATTTCTGTGACAAATAAAGGCAGACCTGATCCAACTCAGAAGTGGTCTGCTCTTCAGGGGAGCCCTACCTTGGAGTGATGCTTCTCAAATACTCTGTTTCCTTCCAGCAGAAGTCTTTCATGAGTCTCAGTTGTATGAATTAATTTTATATTTTTACATTTTGTGCCATTTTATTCAAGACTACTGAACTAAAAAGGAAAAAGTCCTTGCAGTGGTGGGTTTTTTTACCCCCCCCCCCCCTTACAAAGAGTCATGGGATCTTCTTAAAGATCACGGCTTTGTTTTTGCAGTCTCCACTAGAAATGTTTGTCAGGAGCTCGTTCAGCCTTTGCACAGGAGGGAAGGCTGTGCAGCATTAGGCAGATAACACTGCTGGCATGTCATCTCAGTGTGGAAGACAGGAATGAGGAAATTAAAGTCATGCCTGAAACCAAAGCAGAATCATAGTTATGAAACTGGTTGCAAGGTTGTTTTTTGGGTTTTTTCCTTCCTTTTTGTCAACCTTTCCTGTGCTTTGAAGTGAAGTCATCACCCCATTTATAGGATGCTGGGCTCTGTTGTGGGTCTGTGTATAAATAATGTAGAAGTGCTCCGAGAGAGATCATGGGAACTGGTGCTAGCTTCATGTTCAAGTCCTGATGCCTCTTTCATGTCTTGATGTGCAAGGACATGGTAGTGGCAGCTTTTGGGGATCTTTTCTGATATCAGCATATTGTCTGTGTTTAGTTATACAGCTCATTTCATCCCTGGGCAGTAAGAAGCATACAACAGGAGATCTAAGGTTATCAAACATCTGCTGGTTTTATTCTCTTCCAGGCTTCCAGTCCCAGAAAGTTTCATGAGTGAGTCTCCCAGTGACATCCAAAGTGGCTACTACCCCTTTGGAAGCCCTGTTTCTCCAGGTCTATAACCCTACTTGGAGGGTTATAATTCCCAAAGCTGAACAAGTTTGTTCTTGTGAACTATATTTGAGTTCCCTTTTTGTCTGGGCATTCTTACCTGTATCAGAAACAATGTGATCAGCAGGACCAGGACAGTGATTCCTGTACTCAGCAATGGTGAGGCCACACCTTGAATCCGGTGTCTAGTTCTGACCTCTCAAGACAAGAAAGACATTGAGGTGTTAGAATGTGTCCTGAGAAAGACAGGAGCTGAGAAAGATCTAGAAAATAATGAGGAGCAGATGAGAGGTGGGGGTATTTAACCTGGAGGAATGGAGACTCAGGGAAGACCTTATCACCCTCTACAACTACCTGAAAGGAGGTTGTGGGTGATCAATCTCTTCTCTCAGGTAACCTGTGGCAGACCAAGAGGACATAGCCTCTGGCTGCACCAAGAAAGGTTCCGGTTGGACATAAGGAAGAAATTTAACACAAAAAGGGTGGTTGAGTCTTGGAACAGGCTGCAGAGGGAAAGGCATCACCACCCCTGGAAGTGTTCAAGGAGTAACTGGATGTGGCACTGTGTGCTGTGGGATCCCCTTGGGGCCTGTAGAAGTGTGGGTGTCCAAGTGGTGTAGCAGGTCACTGACTGTTTCCTCCTGGATTGTGGCAGCTTCCTTCTGCTCTCTGTCCCTGTCTGGGTATCATGAGGACTGCTGGTCTTACTGTTGAAGACTGAGGCAAAGTACTTCTGCCTTTTCCTTATCCATTCATCCATTGCCATATGCCATTGCCTGTGCATCAAGTGAAGGATGGAGATTCTCTTTAGTCTTCCTTTTCTTGCTGATGTATTTGTACAAATGTTTTGTGTTGTCTTTTACAGCAGTAGTTAGATTAAATTGTGTTTGGGCTGTGGCCCTTGTAATTTTCTCCCTGCATAACCTTTCAACATCTTTGTGGTCCTTCTTCACTCATCATCTCCATCAGTCAGGGAATTATCTCTTGGTAATATTAGTGTGAAGAAGTAGAATAGTCCAGTCTGTTTTCTGCCCTTTTTAGTGTGAGATTTAGTTTGGCATACTCACAATGAGACCTTGGGTTGTAAATGGAACAAGCTGCTTCCCATGGTCATCGCAGCTTTCCTCACATAGTAAAAGTCGATAGCATCCTCCTTGCAGAAACATCAATGTGAACAAGATGAACATCCATGAAGAACTATATGCTGAGTTCCCTTTGGTTTTCTGTGGATAAATGCTACCCTCTGCAAGGAAGTATTTTTATATCCCTCTGAATGCCATTATAAATGGAACAGAGACAGGAGGAAAACTCTTCCAAAAAGATCTTAATCCCAGTACTAGGAATTTTTTTTGTTGGATTAAAGCTATAGAAATCTAGCAGAAATGAACCCCCTTAGGTTACAGCTGCTCCTCAAAGATCAGAAGAGCTGGGGGCAGCTGGGCCTAAGCTGTGATTATAGCCCATTGGACACTGGCTGCCTGGCCGAGTTCAGTAGGCACTTGCAGGATCCAGATTTGCAAATAGGGCAGGTAATTGAAGTGACAGGAAAGCAGATTCTGAATTGCTGGTGGTAAATGCACCAGCTACAGAGTGTTAATATATGCTGTTACAGAAGGAATAGTTACAGAGATCTATTAGCAGTAGATATAAGTGAATATTCCCAGGTCTGTTCCAAGACAGTTGGGAAGCACAAAGCTCACCTGAAAGTGTCCCTTCAGGGATAAGGAGTGACACAGTCCATCAGCTGATCCAAAGCAAGCAGAGGGACTTTCCTCTCTCTCTTTTGCTTATTTGGTTGGTTGTTGTTGTTTTGGGGTTTTTTTGCCCCAAACCCCTCCTTTTGTAGTGTAATTTTTGGCCCTTCCCAAGGGGTGGAACAACTGCATGTTATAGGTGAGATTTTGGTTACTGGGATCACTGAACCAATTTTGAAATCAAAGATTTTGGGTCTTTTCTTGGAAATGTGGTGTGGTTTTTTTCATCAGAGCTACTTCTTGGTGCAGAAGTAGTTCGAGGCTTCCCTGCCATTAGTTGGCAACTCTCTTGAATCATGAGTGTAACAGACTAACCTTGATGGAATTAGGCAATAGGTGGTTCAGATAAATACATGCTTCATTCTTTTCCTAGAAATTTTCCTCTGGCAACACTGAATGTTTCAATGGACACTCTTCAAGATCGATGAGAAAAAGCATGCTGCACTCTTCAGACTCTAGCTTTGACAAAAGCATGGAAATATTAAGTGAAAATGTCAATCGACACTTTTCAAGGTATTGTATTTCTCAGTGTTCAATCTCTATTTATAAAGTCATAGAATGAAAAGCAAAAGTGAAAGCATGCACAGTGAGTCACATCATGATAAATCTACACCTAAAAACCCACAAGGGAATAAGAATATGTTAATGTGTCAGTGTCTTAGGACTAGAAACACTCTTCATAGTAAAAGCGTTCTGCTTCTATAAAAGGCATGCATCTCCTCCCAGGTCCTTGGAGATTCTCTCCTTCACTTTGGTTACTGAGATATTACCTGCTCTGTTGAGACATCAAGATGAGCAAGATGGGAAATACCTGTCCTTAGAGAGCTGCGTGCATATGCTACACAGCGGACTCGGGATCCAAATTTTCCCTGGAGTCTACAGGCTTTTCTTTGCATGACATGGAGCACCAGATTAAA